GCAGCCTCCGACGGCCGGGCCGCTTCTCCCTCGGCCCTGGCCACGCCTCCTCGCACACCCGGCAGCGCGCCGCTAATGGGGCCTGAAAGCGAGCTGCCGGGTGTACGAGGAGGCGTGGCCAGGGCCGAGGGAGAAGCGGCCCGGCCGTCGGAGGCTGCGGTGCCTCTCCAAGAAGATGGAGGAGAAGAGTGGAGGAAACAGACAGCAATCGCCGCTGCCGAAGCGGCGGAAGTCCCCCCCCTGGATTTCAACATTACAACATTCTGTTCCTAACCATATATTGTTACTTTTTAATGCAATATATTTATGCAAAACAAAATATCTTCACTAGTACAATAATCATTATCATTTATGCTAAAACATAATGCTTTATTTTTAACACATTAGAAATGTAAAATAAATTGTTCTTAAGAATATAATGTAAAAACTTACCCTTTTTCCATACTTCAGGTAGTAATGTTTTTGGCTTTTAGGACCAAAAAAAAAGGCTACCAAAAATTAAAGTTTACCTATTTAGAATTTTCTTAACCAGTTTATTCTTTCCAAAAGTATAGTAGAGTGGTTTGTAAAATACTACGAACTTTCTGATTAAAAAATCTAAGTAAATGATATATGTGCTGTCCCACCTAACCAAAGATGCATTTGTTTCTACAGGTGCAAGACACAATTTTTATGTCAAAAGTGGGAGTGTCACAATTAGGGTTGCCATGACAGCCATGTTTTTCATGACAAATGTTACTATTTTATGGGGAGGGAGAGCCTGGGATGTGTGCTGCCCTGGAACATGTATAATTCATATCATTCAAGAGGGAACTCAGTTTGCTAATTAAGATAGGTCACCTGGGATTCCTGTTTGACTTTTCAGCTGCAGCACTTGAATTCCTCATACTGCAGGAGGGTTTATTTTGCAAGCACTGCCCATCAGCATCAATAAATGTTATATGTCCTGGAAAAGAAAGCCGACATGGCAACCCTAGTAACAATCCCATCATGGTATGCATCACCATGCTATGCTGGAGTAAAATTACACTATATCAGTGTTTCTAAGTTGGTATTGTTATATATGTATAGGGGCAACACAATAAAGAAAATTAAAACCTGAATTTAAAACTTAAGCCCAAAGTAGCAGAGCTGGAAACATTCTCCCATTAAGCTGCATTGGTGAATTTTTCAAACTTGGCTACATTGGCCTAAAGTTATAAATTTACTTCTCATTTTCCTGCAAGTCTCTCTTTTTAAGTAGACCCTTTAGAAATAAAAATTAAAATGATTCCATATTCAAAAGTATTAAAGGAGAACTATGGGGTCCAATCTTTTCTTTACTTTTGGATTACATGGGAATACATTTTGCAATTTACTCCTATAATCCAAAATGCACCCTAAACATAATCGTTACTTTAAGATGGTGGGCGGGGCTAGAGTGGGGAGAGCTCCCGACAATACTGTCTGGATCCTCCCCACTGATCATTCGTCACTGTGACTGACGGCGCTTCTTGAGAACTGCTGCGCGCCCACGAATATATGGGCATGCGCAGCAGATCTGTCCCCGCGGCTCTCTC